AAGTTGCAAGGTGGTTAGGTTGGTCTCAACTAAGGCCAGGGCCTTTTCAGTACTGGCCCCGACTTGGTGGAACGCTCTGTCTCAAGAGACTAGGGCCCTGTGGGACTTGACATCTTTCCGCAGGGCCTGCAAGACAGAGCTGTTCCGCCTCACCTTTGGTTTGGACTCAGTCTGACCCTTATGTTTCCCTCCCCTTATGGTTTTGATCTATGAGCTACTATTAAAATGAGGCTGCATTTTAAATTGTATTCTAACCCGTATTTTAAATTGGCTTTCTATTTTATTTTATCCCCCCCCCCCGATTATATTTTTATTGTAATTTTACTGGTGTTAGCCGCCCTGAGCCGGCTCTGGCTGGGGAGGGCGGGGTATAAATAAAATTATTATTATTATTCTGGTTAAATGTGAGTATACAATGCAATGTTAAATATGGAAAATACATGACGTGTTTTATTTAGAGCTTGTATAAAGTTATGTGTTTTACTTGTACTATCTGAACATGTGATACACATGAAAAATAAATAAATAAATAAAATTTTAAAATTACAATCGGTTTTCAAATATACAAATATTTACAGTATATTAGCAGATGAACAATCATTTTTATCCATGCGCACATCAAACTGTAACAAATGTGACAATAAAATCATTTAAATAAAACAAAAAGCAAACCTCCGGTGCATGGCCTCTTTAGATACCTATACTTAAAGTGACAACTTCTATATTCCAGGTTCGCTAGACATAAATAAGACAATGCCCTTCCATGCCAAAGGAAGACTTATTGCTATGCAAAGCTTGCTTTTCATCTTAATTTATTAACCACATTCGTTCGCAAGCGAAGGGGGAATATCCCTGACCATTTTCAGCTTTATTTACAAGAGGAATGAAGTCGAACCAGACGGGTACAAAATTTATCCTTCTCACATTGGTCCCTAGTGGGTCTCAGTTTATGTGCTAATGTTTCCAAAAGGGCGATATCCCAAACCTTATTATACCAGCTTGTAACATTAGCCTCCTTTTAAGTTCTTCCAAAAGTGTGTGATAGTCATTCGCCATTAATAAATACAGTAGTGGACTTGGGCTCCCAAATTTAAGCAGCGCCATGCGCGACGTTAAAATTCGGCACCCCCGCCGCTTGCTCTTCATTCTATAGCAGGCATAGGCAAACTCGGCCCTCCAGATGTTTTGGGACTACAATTCCCATCATCCCTGACCACTGGTCCTGTTGGCTACGGATCATGGGAGTTGTAGTCCCAAAACATCTGGAGGGCTGAATTTGCCTATGCCTGTTTTATAGCATTGCTTTGGCGCCCCCTGCAGCACAGTGACCAGTGTGGCAGCTGGGGTCACACCACCTTATAACCCAGGCTTTCTCAACCTTAGCTAGCAGGACCAGTGGTCAGGGATGATGGGAATTGTAGTCTCAAAACATCTGGAGGTTGAGGAAGCCTGCTATAACCACTTCTGATAAATGTATGATTAGTTCTTTGTTGTGTAAAGGTAGGTTACTGTCGTCAAAAATAGATATGAGCGCCAACTGGGATGTAGGAACAGTGTGACAGTGTAAGATTTTATCTCCCTAAATTTGTTGTTGTTGTTTAGTTGTTTAGTTGCGTCCGACTCTTCGTGACCCCATGGACCAGAGCATGCCAGGCACTCCTCCCTTCCACTGTCTCCTGCAGATACAGGGGTGAAGCACAGCTATGGGAGGTGGTAGTGTACCCATTCGATGGAATCAAGTATTTTGAAATGGTTGGCTTGAAACAGGGTGTATATTAGGCCCCCATAAGGATAGACCCATTTACATCCCATAGATGTTGGAGAGGTTGTTCGTAAATGGTCCTGTTATCACCTTTGGTGGGGATGTGACCAAGTGCAACCATTTTGGTCTCTAGTATCTAGGGAGATCCATTCTGAAGGAAATCAGCCCTGAGTGCTCACTAGAAGGACAGATCCTGAAGCTGAGGCTCCAATACTTTGGCCACCTCATGAGAAGAGAAGACTCCCTGGAAAAGACCCTGATGTTGGGAAAGATGGAGAAGGGGACGACAGAGGACGAGGTGGTTGGACAGTGTTCTCGAAGCTACCAGCATGAGTTTGACCAAACTGCGGGAGGCAGTGGAAGACAGGAGGGCCTGGCGCGCTCTGGTCCATGGAGTCACGAAGAGTTGGACACGACTAAACGACTAAACAACAACCCTAAGCATGCCTGAGTTCTAGTTTGCATTGCAATCTGCTTCAAGCTTCCTTCTCCTGCCTTTTCAACCTTTGGCATTAACCACCAGAGGGCTGTGTTCACCCATCTTGGGGAAAATGCATAAACCGACTCTTGATAGCCCACTGCCAATTTCAAACTGTATGAGGGCACACTGATGTGCTCAAGAGAGCGGCCTGAACAAATCTCCCTCTCTTTGGAGAGTTTGCAGAGGCAAAGTTTGCTGGTTGGTTCAGTGCACAGATTCTAAAGAACAGTAAAAACAGCAAAGTAGGAGACAGACAGATGTGACTCATCGGGCACAATCCAGTGAGAAACTTCCTTGCTGAAACGAGCAGAGAGTTAGGTCATCTAATTTTAACATTTTTTTGTGCTGTGCAACCTCCTGGATTTTGGAATTATTTATTTCCTTTCCTTTTCCTTTCTTTTTTTCTTTTCCTTTTGGTTATTGAATCTAATTTTTGCTGTTTATTAAGAGTGTAACAGTTGTGGGTTTTTAAAGCGATGTAATCCATCTGTAAGTAATGGACCAGTATTCTATGCCTTTTAGAGCTGCGCAAGAATTAAAATTACAAAAATGTGGCAATAGGGAAAGCTTATTGATGTATGACTGTGTTAATGGCACAGAGCTGCTGTTTTTTTTAATTATTTATTATTATTATTATTATTAAAAAGGTGGCAACTCCAAGCCCCTTGTCCTAAGCCAGGATATCCTATCCAAAACATCTCCAAAAGATGTTTACATAACCATCAATGGATCCCGTAAATCAACTTGCAGACTTGAAGCAGAGCTCCCCCTCCTCCCCCCTTTTCCTTACACGGTATTACTCATTTGCTGTGGCGGATTCGTTTCAGATGTCTTTTTTTTGTGCATTGCACTGATGCTGCGGGGAAATGTTTTAATACCGCTGGGAAAGCGAGATCCTTCCTCCGTTGTTACTGTCACTGCTAATGAAATTGTCATGTGGAAGATGGTTGCAAAGGGATGGGGAGGTGACAAGGGTTGGAGATACACACCCCAGATGGTTCTCAAGACACCATTGTCAGTGGTACAATTACCCCACCTTTTGTGATACTTTATTTTCAAAGTCATTGTTAGAGAAGCTATCCAATCTCAGCAGAGTATAGCAGCCTCCCCGTCCCCCCACCTCCCCTTAATGTGGTAATTAGCACCTGGTAATGATTGCCTCTGGGACACGGGTGGCACTGTGGTCTAAACCACAGAGCCTAGGGCTTGCCGATCAGAAGGTTGGCGGTTCGAATCCCCGCGACGGAGTGAACTCTCATTGCTCAGTCCCTGCTTCTGCCAACCTAGCAGTTTGAAAGCACGTCAAAGTGCAAGTAGATAAATAGGTACCGCTCCAGCGGGAAGGTAAACGGCGTTTCTGTGTGCTGCTCTGGTTTGCCAGAAACGACTTAGTCATGCTGGCCACATGACCCGGAAGCTCCCTTGGCCAGTAAAGCGAGATGAGCGTCACAACCCCAGAGTCGTCCGCGACTGGACCTAACTGTCGGGGGTCCCTTTACATTTTAATGCTTGCCTCTAAACTTGAGAAGATTTTTAGTTATACCTGACTAATAGCTGTTCCTGGACTTGTCTTTTTTTGCGGATTTCAGAAGATCCATTTTTTAGTTTGTTGTTGTTTAGTCATTTAGTTGTGTCTGACTCTTCGTGACCCCATGGACCAGAGCACGCCAGGCACTCCTGTCTTCCACTGCCTCCCACAGTTTGGTCAAACTCACATTGGTAGCTTCAAGAACACTATCCAACCATCTCGTCCTCTGTCATCCCCTTCTCCTTGTGCCCTCCATCTTTCCCAACATCAGGGTCTTTTCCAGGGAGTCTTCTCTTCTCATGAGGTGGGCAAAGTATTGGAGCCTCAGCTTCAGGATCTGTCCTTCCAGTGAGCACTCAGGGCTGATTTCCTTCAGAATGGATAGGTTTGGTCTTCTTGCAGTCCATGGGACTCTCAAGAATCTCCTCCAGCACCATAATTCAAAAGCATCAATTCTTCGGCGATCAGCCTTCTTTATGGTCCAGCTCTCACTTCCACACATCACTACTGGGAAAACCACAGCATTAACTATACGAACCTTTGTCAGCAAGGGGATATCTCTGCTTTTTAAGATGCTGTCTAGGTTTGTCATCGCTTTTCTCCCAAGAAGCAGGCGTCTTTTAATTTCGTGGCTGCTGTCACTGCCATCTGCAGTGATCATGAAGCCCAAGAAAGTAAAATCCTGACTTCTTTCTTTCTTTCTTTCTTTCTTTCATGTCAGCTTCCTCCTCCTTAAGCCTCAGTGCTGCCTTGTGGAACTCAGCAGGGAAGAGGATGGAGTCAAAACATTATGGATGCTTTAGCTGAGATTCCTGCATTGCAGGGGGTTGGACTAGATGACCCTTGGGGGGGCACCTTCCAGCTCTACAATTCTATGACTCCATGAAAAGTAGAATTGAGTTGGCTCTGCCTGCTGTTGGCTCTGGCGCCACCTACTGTTGGGCTCCTTGCATTCCACCCAAAGGGCACCAACCACCAGCACATTCAGCCTCTCGTGTGCTTGCCTTGTGTTTTGCTGTCATTTTTTTTACCTCTCCTGCCCTTGGCCCCAATGGTGGGGCAGCTGTTGACAACAACGGCAATTGTTTTAATTTTTAAGGTGTAAAGTTGTCAATGCAGGTGCAGAGGATAGAAGATAAAGCAGATGTCTGCTCCTCTCTGGGCCGCCCACCTTCTGCCCACTCCACCAGTTTTGGTTGCTTTGCAGACTAGTAATAAGAATGATAATGATGGTGATGATGGTGATGATGATGATAAATTTATATGGCATCCATCTGATGACTGGGTTGCCCCAGCCCCTCTGGGTGGCTTCCAACAATTTATAAAACCACAGTAAAACATCAAACAATAAAAGCTGCCCGTATACAGGGCTGCCTGAAGATGTCTTCTAAAATTCCAGCCTAGGAGGGACAGTAGTGGCTGCTCCTTGCAGCGAGCAAGCAGTGCAAAGCAGCCAGCTGTGCCTGCTTCTTTGGAGGCAGAAGCAAGGGGTCAAATTCCTCACCCAACCAGAGCAGGGGTCGATGGTGGCAGCTGCTGCCCTGAGCAGGTAGGCCCTTCTGGGATGTTGGCACCCGTCCAGAGACACCAAGCACCCTAACTCTTTTCTCAGGGCTGAAACAGCGGATACAAGAGAGATCTGTGGCTTGATCTGCCCACATCTTAATCTACTTTAAAGCAGGCTGCATGTGGGTTGGGGTTCTTATTTTATCAGAGCAAGCAGTACTGGCAGCAATCATCCCCATCATACATGTAAAGCATGTGGCACCCCCCCAAAGAATCAAGGGAACTGTAGCATGTTAAGGGTGCTGGGAACTGTAGCGCAGTGGGGGATAAATTCCCAGGATCCTTTGGGGGAAGCTATGTGCTTTAAATGTGTGTTTTGGCATGATATGGACGTGACCTAGATTGCTCTTCGAAGCTGTTTGGTTTTTTTTTAAAGATATTTATTAGAATTTTACAAAATGAAAAACGAAAAAAGAAAAATACAAAACGAAAATAGTAAAAAAACAATTCCATCTTTCAATCACTTATCTTTCATTTGCTTGTTTCCCGGACCTCCTCACACCTCCCTTTTTGTATTCCCGTTCAGTTTGTTAGTTCAGCAAATCCTTTCCCTCTTTGTTTATCCTAATCTTTAATCTTAGAATAATGTAACATTAAATTTTTGCCTGTTAATAGTCCATTTTTTCCTACTCCTTATAGCGTTATAGCTAAAAACCACATAACTTTTCATCCAACATCATTCTAACATTCATTAATTTTACAATGTTTCTGTAGGTAGTCTTTAAATTTCTTCCAATCTTCTTCCACCGACTCTTCTCCCTGGTCTCGGATTCTGCCGGTCATTTCTGCCAGTTCCATGTAGTCCATCACCTTCATCTGCCATTCTTCCAAGGTGGGTAGGTCTTGTGTCTTCCAATACTTTGCAATAAGTATTCTTGCTGCTGTCGTGGCATACATAAAGTTCTATCCTTCTTTGACACCAATTGGCCGACCATGCCCAGGAGAAAGGCCTCTGGTTTCTTCAAGAAGGTATATTTAAATACCTTTTTCATTTCGTTATATACCATCTCCCAGAAAGCCTTAATCCTTGGGCACGTCCACCAAAGGTGAAAGAATGTACCTTCAGTTTCTTTACATTTCCAACATTTGTTATCGGGCAGATGGTAGATTTTTGCAAGCTTGACTGGAGTCATGTACCACCTGTAAATCATTTTCATAATATTCTCTCTTAAGGCATTACATGCCGTAAACTTCATACCTGTGGTCCATAACTGTTCCCAGTCAGCAAACATATTGTTATGTCCAACATCTTGTGCCCATTTAATCATAGCAGATTTCACCGTTTCATCCTTGCTCTTCGAAGCTGTTTGCCCAAAGGGACAACACAAAAGTTGTTGAGCTTCTTTGGGCCATAGTTCTCTAAAAATACGTTGTTTTTGAGCTATTTTTAAAGAAAATTCACCAAAATATAGACTTGCGACATGAGTTGCCATACGTCTGGATTACCCTGGACATTTCAGCAATTTCCGCCCAGACACTGTTTCTGACTGCCATATTCCGGCTATGTCCAGGAAATTCCAGACATTTGGCAGCCCTAGTTTAATGCTCCCCCAAGATGCTCCTATTAAAGAAGAGATTCAAACCTGGGTTTCTGTACCTCATCTGTGTGCCCCTAAACTTCAGCAACCACCCTTTCTGCAATAACTGGCCTACTTGACAGGGCTGTCATAGCAACCTCAAGATTATATAAGTTAAATGCTTTGGATGCTTTAAATTGCTCTATAAATGATGCTGATTGCTGCAATATTATTATGAGACCGAACTTTCTGGAACTGGCTGGCACTGGGATCTAGCATGAATCTACACTATATGTAAATTGCAAGGCACCCCTTTCTTTGGCTGGGGAACAATTTATCAGGCAATTCAGCTCTGTCACCGGTGGTGGCTTGGCTCAGGATTGCAGACTTTTATCACACCGCATGTGTTAATTAGCTGACCATTTGGGGGATGTTTGTGTTATCACCAACACTGCCTTGTTAATTGGTCGCTGTGATTATTATTCCGCCTTTAGGTAATTGACAGAGTCTCTTCCTTTTTACATTTAATTTCCCTTTGACCTCATCCCCCTACCCTAACACCCCACAACTGTGTATATTATGGTCTATCCTGGCCTGAGATCTTGGGGAGTGTCTCTGCTGGTGATACGCACTGCACAGAAGTACTACTAACTGTGCATTCAGTCTATGGGGCCCATTCCTTTGGCTTTCCCTCCCCAGTAAGCTTAGATAGTCACCCTCCTTGCTAAACTTCAGGCATGAGTAAGAGTTTTTTTTGTTTTGTTACTGCAGGCATTTTTAGGTAGTGTTTGTTTTATTGTCCCCCACTTCCGTAGATTTTTTTATGCACACCACTTAGAATAATTAAGCAGCACCTAAATACAGTGGTGCCCCGCAAGACGAATGCCTCGCAAGACGAAAAACTCGCTAGACGAAAGAGTTTTCCGTTTTTTGAGTCGTTCCGCAAGACGAATTTCCCTATGGACTTGCTTCGCAAGACGAAACGTCTTGCGAGTTCTTGCAAGTTTGTTTCCTTTTTCTTAAAGCCGCTAATAGCCGTGCTTCGCAAGACGAAGAGACTCATGGAATGGATTAATTTCGTCTTGCGAGGCACCACTGTATCTTAAGGGACGTGGGTGGCGCTGTGGGTTAAACCACAGAGCCTAGGGCTTGCCGATCAGGTCGGCGGTTCGAATCCCCGCAACGGGGTGAGCTCCTCTTGCTCGGTCCCGGCTCCTGCATGTGGCGTGCCCCCAAAGAATCATGCAGTTCGAAAGAACAAAGTGCAAGTAGATAAATAGGTATCGCTCCTGCGGGAAGGTAAACGATGTTTCCGTGCACTGCTCTGGTTCACCAGAAGCGGCTTAGTCATGCTGGCCACATGTACGCTGGCTCCCTCGGCCAATAAAGCGAGATGAGCGCCACAACCCCAGAGTCGGCCACGACTGGAACTAATGGTCAGGGGTCCCTTTACCTTTTACATATCTTAAATAAAAACAAATATTGTATATGCTTGCCAATTTAGTGTTACATTTCATGCATCTGATGAAGGGATCTGTGGTCCACTGAAGCCGACACCATAATCAATTGTCTTCCCACTGCCACAAGACACTTTGGGAGGGAAGGAGTTCAGCTAGGTTTTGGCATAATGGATTAGGTGCCAGGTAATTAAGAAGGGAGCATAGGTACACAGGAAGTTGATTTATGTATACGAAGACCACTGATCCACCTAGTTCAGTACTATCTATCCTGGTATGCAGCCGTTCGCCAGGATTTCAGACAGGGGTTTCCACCCCAGCCTGATTTGGAGGCTCCTGGTGGGACAGCTCAGTCAGCAGAGCATGAGACGCTGATTCTCAGGGTAGTGGGTTCAAGCCCCACATTGGGGGAAGAAAACAAAAGATTCTTGCATTGCAGGGGGTTGAACGATCCTTGGGATCCCTTCCAACTCTACGATTCTATGAACCTGGGGTCTCCTGCCTGAGAAACAGATGCTCTACCCCTGGGCTACTGCCCTTTCCCCCCTCAATCCTGCCAGGCAATTCTTGCCTGGTTTGTTTGGCTCTTTTTCTCCTAATTGCCCGTTTATTTTACAAGCTGCCTGGAGCTTTAGAAAAGCGACATAAAAAGGCTTCGCGCAAGCCAGCGCGTTTCCCAGGGTTTTTTTTTTTATTTATCATTCCTCGCTGCTCCGAGAAAACACACCAATCTTTGCAGTTAAAGAGGGATCGCCAGGATTCCCCCGAGCAAGGATCCCGTCCCTGGCCACAACATGGAGAAGCATGCTCTCTCTCCCTTCTCCTCCTCCCCAAATCGACAGCCCGCCACCAACGGCCTGGGCCTCGAGCTTTTCCCTGCGAACAAAGGAGGGGCGAGAGAAGGGGGGCGTCCTGCCCCGAGGGCTCCAATCCGGGCAGGCAGGCAGGGAGCGAGGGCCGGGGACGACTTCCACGTCCCCTCGCGAAGAGCTTCCCTTCGGATGTGGCGCGCCGCGGGGCGCGCTTGCTAGCCGTGCGCCAGGGGCCGCTGCGTCGGGTGGCTGGAGGCTGCGGAGCGCAGGGCCGGCGGCGCAAAGCCCCTTCCTCCTCCGCCTCCTCCTCCTGCTCGGCTGCCTTGGCGGGGCTCTCGCCTCCTTCCCTCCTTCCCTCTCCTCCTGCCTCTCCCCGAAGGGCCCCTCCTAATCCCTCGCTCGCCGCAGCGGGAGGCCTTAAGCTGCCTATTCAGGCCCTTTCCTCGGCGCGCTCTGGCTCTCGGCGCTTTCAATGGCTCTCCCTGGCAGGAGACGTGTTGGACAAGTGGAGGGATCCGTCCCCCGCCAGCAAGGTCAAGGTGCGCTTAAAGGCAGCTCCTTCCCTCGGCGGGGCGGCGGGCGCCGATGGGCCAGGTTGGAGGGCTGCGCCGGGGAACAATGCCGACGCTTGTTCCCACCGCCAGAAGCCTCCCTTCGCTCTCTCTCTCCATCGGCCCCCTAGGATGGATCCAGACCCGCCAGCCTTTCCGGCACCCAGAGAGGGGGGGGGCCATAGGAGCCAATTCCTACGGGCCAGGGTCCCTCTGACACCCCCAATAAAATATTTGAACCCCCCCCAATAAAAGTCGATGGGCCATTCAAATGGTGTGCGTCAGGGGTGCCAACTTGAATAAAATATTGGGGGGGCAGGCAAGCCCTGCCCCACATAATCACATGACGGGGCGCAACCACGCTACTTTAATGGCAATGCCTCTCAACTTTTTGTGGGGAGGGTCCAGACCCCTCAAATACAGTGGACGCTCGGGTTGCAAACGTGATCCGTGCGGGATGCACGTTCGCAACCTGCGTCTGCGCACATGTGGGTTGCGATTCAGTGCTTCTGCGCATGCGCAAAGACCGATTTAGGGCTTTTGCGCATGCGCAACCCCTGAAATCCAGAAGTAACCCGTTCCGGTACTTCCGGGTTTTGGTGGTCCGCAACCCGAAAAATGCAACCTGAAGCGGCTGTAACCCGAGGTATGATATGACTGTATTTTACTGGGTGGGCAAAGGGACCTTGGCCCCAGGAGTTGGCTCCTATGGTGTGCGTGCATTGCATTTTGTGGCCCCCCCCCCCAATATTTTATTCGTCGGCACCCTTGCTCTTGCCTCCAAACCACGACTTTGCAGACTTGCTAGGGCAGTAATCAGCAGCCCTTTCCAGCCAGGTCTCTTTGGTTTTAAGGGCTAGCTGCTAGCAGGGGCAATGAGGCGATGAGGGAGAGAGAGCCAGGGGTTGGCATCCTGCCGCTGAGAAAGGCACAGGAGCCTTGGCAGGAAGAAAAGTGGCAACCTTTGTTGGCCAGTGCCAGGCTATTTTGCGCCCTAGGCAAGGCTAACTAGTTCCGCACACCCACACAACACTGCTAACAATTAGAATGTATGAGTTTCTTCAGAACTGGTAACATTCTTCAATATATAAAATGAAAGTAAATTATAACCAGAAATTTATATGACATCAAAAAACGAATCTGCATAAAACTGCCCTTCAAAGGTCAGTACTGTGCCTCTCTGAAATCTGCGCCTAGTTGGCTTAATGATGGCACCGGCCCTGCTAATTGGTAAAGAAGGGCATATTGCAGAGGTCAGCAACCTAAGGCCCTTGGGCCGCTTCTGGCCCATGAGCTTCCTGGAACTGGCCCACGGCCGCTCTGTGGATCGGTGTGGGGAGTCAGTGCTTTTTTTCATGGCACCATTTTTTTTCTCACCGCAGGAACCGACATCTGGGTCAGAAGAGCACTGGAAATAGTGTGTGCGCATACGCACAGGCTCTCCTCCGACCAAGAAGAACGCTGGAAATAGCTTGAGCGCACACACGGGCACGCATGCTCCGGCCCACCGGAGCCGCAGCGGCTTGAGGACAGGAAAGGGCACGACTGGGCAGCTCTGTAGGTTTTTAAGCCCTCCATTTTTAAAACAGAAAACAGCTGGTTTATTTCATCTTACTCAGATTGCTACAACTTGTTTTGATTTAGGAGACTTCTGCATTGTGCCACAAAAGAAATACAAGTGCGTGCATTGTTATCATCTTGTGACAAGTCACCTGGGTTCTGGACCCTCTGCTACGCGCCATCGAGATCAAAGGTTGTATTACCTGAACCAGACAAGAACTGCCTGAAAAATGAGGCCTCTTGGATGGATTTGCCATGCTACCAAGTTGTTTCTGCTTTAAAGCAGTAAGGCTGCCTCTCCCAACCCCTATATTCCTGGCTGCTACAGGGGGTAGCCCTCCTGTTGGTTTGCAATTTGGGGGCGTGTGGCAACCCCATCATGGAACACTGTTTTCCCCCCCTTGGTGGTTTGCTAGGGGGCTTAAATATTCTGCACATTTCAAGCAGGATTCAAGCTCAGTGTAGCCTCCCAAGTGGGACCAGGCATTTCATGAGGCTGCCCGAAGGAAAGGCCTCATCTCCTCCCTCTCTGGCGCGCATGCCTGCCGATGTCTAGGAAAGCAAAGCATGTAATGTGAAGCCGTGTGCTCTTCCGTTTCCCTGCACCACCCTGTCGCAGTGTGACGGCATTGCGCTCTGCATGTTTTACTAGGCGTGCTGAGGAGGGAGGAGGATGAGATCCAGGGCCCATTGCTTTCAGTGGCCATCGTGTCTCCCTTTCTGGCCCAAAGCAATTCTTCCCACAGATCCTGTATCTTGTGTCAACCTGATGGGCTCTTGGGTTTCGACAGCAGAGGCGTACCTAGACTCTCTTGCACTCTAAGCAAAGAGCAGGAGTGCCAAATTGAATAAAATATGGGGGGGGAGGAAGGTAAGCCCCACCCTACATAATCACATGATATGGTGCATGCACAACATTTGAATAACAATGCTTATCAACTTTCGGGGTGGCCCCCTTAAATATTTTATGGGGGGAAGCCCCCTCGGCCCCTAGGAGTTCGCTTCTGTGGCAAGGAGCTGTTCCTGCACACACACACCTATCCCTTGTACCCTGGGCAGGGAGATGTATTGGTGCCCCCCTAATCCTTTGCAAGGGACGCGGGTGGCGCTGTGGGTTAAACCACAGAGCCAGGACTTGTCGATCAGAAGGTCGGCGGTTTGAATCCCCGCGACGGGGTGAGCTCCCGTTGCTCGGTCCCTGCTCCTGCCAACCTAGCAGTTTGAAAGCACATCAAAGTGCAAGTAGATAAATAGGTACTGTTCTGGTGGGAAGGTAAATGGCGTTTCCATGCACTGCTCTGGTTTGCCAGAAGTGGCTTAGTGATGCCGGCCACATGACCCGGAAGCAGTACGCCGGCTCCCTCAGCCAATAAAGCGAGATGAGCATCGCAACCCCAGAGTCGACCATGACTGGACCTAATGGTCAGGAGTCCTTTTACCTTTAATCCTTTGCAATGGCCCATGACAACAACCAAATTCCTCCGCCAAGGCACTCAAAACGAGCCTGTGCACCTCATCTGGCCAACCAAAGGAGCAGACCAGGGAGTGTGCAGACAAAGAGACGGGCTTCTAGCCACAGTGGAGAGGCGCAATTTTTGCACACACAACCCGGCCTGCACCCTTGGAGGGAGCCAAGCTGACCAGTGCCTAGATATGCCCCTGTTTTAACAGTAATACTTTATGTAACCTATTCAAGGGACGCGGGTGGCGCTGTGGGTTAGACCACAGAGCTTAGGACTTGCTGATCAGAAGGTCGGCGGTTCGAATCCCCGCGACAGGGTGAGCTCCCATTGCTCATTCCCTGCTCCTGCCAACCTAGCAGTTCGAAAGCATGTCAAAGTGCAAGTAGATAAATAGGTACCGCTCCGGCGAGAAGGTAAACAGCGTTTTTGTGCGCTGCTCTGGTTCTCCAGAAGCGGCTTAGTCATGCTGGCCACATGACCCGGAAGCTGTACGCTGGCTCCCTCGGGCAGTAAAGCGAGATGAGCGCCACAAACCCAGAGTCGGCCACGACTGGACCTAATGGTCGGGGGTCCCTTTACCTTTACCTAACCTATTCAAATGTCCACGGCACTTCCCACGAGCCGTATAATGTTAGACCACTACTGTATCGTTACCCCACGCTTCCCCATAACAGTGCCCGACATTGGAGTCTCCAATTTCAGTGGCACCCTGCAAAGAAATCAGCGCCCCTCTTGCCTCTTACCCCCCCATTTGAAATAAAAGTTGCGGTGCCCCTAAGACTCCACAACCAGAGCGACCGGATCAGTTGCGCTCCCCTAAAACTGCTTCTGCCCATGCTACAGATTTGGGTGGGTGGGCTGAGGTTGAGGAACTGTAACTACTGCCATCTCCACTTGCTCCTGCTCTGTGGTACACAGCATCTCTTCCCCTCGCAGGGGACATCAGAGCAGAATACCCTCCGAGTCAGAAAAGCAGCAGCAGGCAAGATATCCGCTACTCCTTAAATTGGACTGGATCGCCCTTTCCTTGCAGCAGGCCAGTGGGGTGGGGTGCTTAGAGCATAGGTAGGCAAACTAAGGCCCGGGGGCCGGATCCGGCCCAATCGCCTTCTAAATCAGGCCCGTGGACGGTCCAGGAATCAGTGTGTTTTCACATGAGTAGAATGTGTCCTTTTATTTAAAATGCATCTCTGGGTTATTTGTGGGGCATAGGAATTCGTTCATATTTTCCCCCAAAATATAGTCCGGCCCCCCACATGGTCTGAGGGACAGTGGAACGTCCCCCTGTTGAAAAAGTTTGCTGACCCCTGGCTTAGAGTGTCGGGCTAAGACCTGGCAGACCACGGTTCAGATCCCCACACTTAACCATGAAGCTCCCTGGGTGACCTTGAGCCAGTCATTGCCTGTCAACTGAGCCTACCTCACAGGGGTGTTGTGGTGAGAAGGGGGAAAACCACATATACCACCTTGAGCTCACTGGAGAAAAAGGTGGGATAGGAATGCAATGCAATAAGAAAGAACCAGTTGCGGGTTTTGTCAAAGCATAGAGCTCTAGAAAAATTGTGCTACCATTGATTTCATTTTGCTTCTTTATGTGCCTTGCCCCATATATACAGTATGCCCACTCAACTGTGTTGATCCGTGGAACTGGCACTGTTAACAAGTGCCACATACTTCTTATCCCGCAGTCGTAAGAAATCAATATTTTTAATGTGGCGGCATCTGCACTTTGGAACTCCCTACCTATTGACAATTGCTGTACTCTTTTCAATGCCTGCTTAAAACATTTTTGCTCAGGCAAGCCATACTGATGATCTCTTTCTACTGTTTTCTTTTCTTTATTGCTTTCAACCGTTGTTTTTTTTCAAATTGATCGTTTTCATATGTCCTGGAATCCACACAGAGGTTTTTACATACTATCGGAAAGGTTGTGTCCATTTTTGTGAGGTAAACAAATAAATGCCCCCGTTTACTTGTGAAAGGGAGCCGAACGAGAAGTAGAGCAAAGTTTGTGTTTGTGAGACCCTCGTATTGTGGGGCGAGGGGAGTCATAGCAACGGGAACATGCGAGTGGAAAAGGATGCATTATTTTTTAGTTTCCTCCCCTTTGCTCGCTCAAGGCGTCCAAACTTAATACTGAGGTTGTGAGCCCTTTGGGGAGAGAGATGGATATGGATGAAATTGTGAGCCTGAACCTCTGGGATAGGGCGGGGTGCAAATATTGTCATGGCTGCTGGCCACAGCATTCCTTTGTGAAGGGTCTTGTTTGTTAATGACTACCAGGACGACTGGTAGATGTTTAGGAAGTAGTTGGAAGATCTCTTTCTTGAGCATTCTGAATAGGAGAGCTATCAGCTTGAAAGGTGACTCACCCCCTTCCCCCAGCTAAGAAGGGAAGGGGGTGTGTAATTTGCCTGTGAGGGTATGTGTGTGTTGAGAGAGAGAGAGAAGGAACAAAAAGAAACGGCTTGGAACAGAAACAGAGAGCCCAGAGCCAGCAGAGAGTTTGCTGAATACTGGAAAGCGGGGGCGGAGGAGGAATTTGTTCCGTCTGTTTTTCGCAGCTCAAGATCCAGTTCAACAGTCCCAAACCTCGCTTGCGGATCGGAATGCAGCTTGTGACTGGGCGTTGCACTTCTACAGATTCTGCAACTGGCGTGTCGGGGGAAAGTGTGCCTATTCTGCGGTTGAAATGCACAATTTTACGGGAAAGCAGCTTGGAAAAGGATGTATTTGGGGGAAAGGCGTACAATAATGTGTAAAATTTAAATGCAAACTTTTTGTCTATTCTTTAAAAAACACACACATGCAAAACAGAAATGGAACAGACCTGTGATTGAGTGCCAGCAAAAAAATGAAAGTGGACGGATTTAGGCTGGATCTAGACATGGCAAAGAAGCGATTCAGTTAAAGGCAGTGTTGCAAACTCATACAGAGAAATCTGGTAAGGAAAGACGGGACTCCACAACGCCATCTGGTGTCACCGTGTTATATCGTATATAAGGTAAAGGGACCCCTGACCATTAGCCAACTGGGGTTGCGGCGCTCATCTCGCTTTATTGGCCGAGGGAGCCAGTTTACAACTTCCGGGTCATGTGGGCAGCATGACTAAGCCTCTTCTGGCGAACCAGAGCAGCGCATGGAAACACCATTTACCTTCCCACCAGAGTGGTACCTATTTATCTACCTGTACTTTGTGCTTTCGAACTGCTAGGTTGGCAGGAGCAGGGACCGAGCAACGGGAGCTCACCCCGTCACGGGGATTCGAACTGCCGACCTTCTGATTGGCAAGTCCTAGGCTCTGCGGTTTAACCCACAGCGCCACCCACATCCCATTATATCGCATATACAACACATATAAAACACACTTCCTTTACCAATCTAGCTGAGTCCCAGGGTCTGATCTATCCATCCCTACTGGGAACATCTGCATGTTCAGGGGACCTTTTTCCAAAGTCTGGATAAGAGGTAGCGAAACTGCTGCACAATCGGAGCATGTTGTATGCTGCTTGCCTCCGCTTATGGTCTACTTGTAAATATACCAAATATTACAAACTCATAACTGACTGATGCTCTCACTTCCAGAGGAAGCCAAACCTGGCTAGCAGTGCCCCTTGGAATTTTTCACCTGTTGGGGAGGTGTGGAGCACAAAACAGTACTCAGTGCCGGCCCACTCATGAGACAAGGTGAGATGACTGCCTCAAGTTGCAGGATCCACAGGGGCAGCAGGTCCCAGTGTAGATCTTTATTCTCCCCCACCTTGTTCCTGATATAGATTTTCACTCACCCGTTCTTCCTGGGAGAGGGTGTGTGTGCCATTTTTTGGTTCGCCTCAGGTGCCAAAATGTATTGAGCTGGCTCTGACAATACTGTATAATATAGGTTTTCAACCTTTTTGAGTCCATGGCTCCCTTGACCAACTACATTATTTCTGCGGCACCCTGACCATCATTCAAGGCACCCCAGGGTGCCAGGGCACACTGGTTAAAAACCACTGCTGTCTAAGTAAATAGCGGCTTGTCTAGTGAGCTTATTCCTGAAGTAAGAACTGGACTGGGGACTTCTTTCTTCCTCGGAACCACTAGACTGGACCTTGGGTCCTGGTCCCAGGTAACACTCACTTGCCTGTCCCCACCTTCTGTGGATCTGAAGCTGATGACCAGTTTCCCAACTGGACCAGCCGTAGCTGCCACATGAGCAGCGGAGACAGGTATATGACGTATGGGTGACAACGGGTGCTGTGTGGCTCTGGCAATAGGGACACCATGGTTTGGTTCACAGGCCCCCAGTGCCTCATGAGAGGCAGAAGCCTAAGACAGAAATTGAGAACATATGGTCCTCCAGGTCTTGCTTAACTCCCAAGCCCGTTGACCATGCTGGTCAGAACTGATGGGTGCTAGGAGTTTGACAACATCTGAAAACAGGTTCAGCATCCCTGCTGTATAGGATGGAAGGAAAGGGCAGAGGCAAAGCTCACCCGGTGACTGCAGGCACATTTAAAGCATATGGCTTCCTCCAAAGAATCATGGGAGAAGCATAGTTTATCCCTCACTAGGGCCAGGCAATGTCATCGCGACCAGCTAATCATTGCGACAAAGTGGTACATCACGGGAAGTAGAGAGAGGAACGAGCTGCATTGGCTGCAGCCCCCCAAGGTGCCAGGGTGAAACCTCATTGTGCTCCCTTGGTGCAGCTTGTTCCACTGGGCAC